AAGAAGGGAAGTCCTGGAGTGCACCTCTGGGGACTCCCCCAGTAAGCTTCCAGCACGCCACAGACCTGGGGCAAGGAAGCAGCCAGCGCATTTCCGGAACACTGGAAGTGACGCGCAGCTCAGGACTTCCATCCACCCAACAGGAAGCCGCCACTACCTCCATTGTCGCTGGAGGTAGTTAGTGGGGCTTCCTGGAGGTGGGGGGAAATGAGGGGGCCCAGAACGCCTCACAATCAACTTGTCGAGGCCTCGCAATCAACAGGTTGGTGACCATGGCTTTAGAGCATGGACGTCTGTGCAGAACTGGCAATTTTGTGAGTTACTGTGCTAGTTGATCAGCCAGATGTGTATCTGTGTCCAAGGCAATGTCTACAACTGTGTAATGCCCATCTCAGGTCAACATTGATGCACTAGTTGTGCGCTAAAAATAGCAATGTGGTGACTAAGGCTCAGACTAGCCACCCCGGAACAGCCCTGTCTGAGATCCTAGATAAGTAGTCAGGAACTATGTTCCCTGTAAACTGAGTGCTTGGACAGCTGTCCAGGAGAGATTTAGGTGCCTCCCAGCTGATTAGCAAAGTGTCCACAACTGGCAGCATGTGTTTCTGTTGGTGGTGCAGATCAACAAATGCCTCAGTGCCCATAACAAAATGTATTTTGCACATGGATGGGAAAAAGTAGAGGAAATATTGGTCAGGATCTAGATCAAGTTGCTACCCGTGCCTCTCATTGCTGTTTTTAGTGTGTGAACTTGAACAGAGCTTAGCCTGTGAATGTCTGCCCAAACTGGGAGTTACACCTCTCAGCTGTAGTGTAGATATGACCTAAGTGGGCGTAGGAACCAGAGACCTAGATGGAGACAGATGGACTTCTGCAAAAATAGACTATAGTTCATGCAGTTATGGGTGGGCCAGCTGGCTTTAGCCACATTCAACTCTTGCCTCAAACACAAGTCCCTATGGGATTATATCCTTTAATTCATAGGCCCCACTACTGAAATATGGGCTCATGTTTTACCCTCCTGTCAGAGAGCATCACAGGCCCCACTGTATGATTCAGCAACACATGGGAAAAGGTATATATTATAAAAATGATATAGTCAGTCTCTTTTGACTGTACTACTTAAACTGCTCTGCTAAAAAGGATCATCTCATTCCAAATATCAGAAATCTTTGAGTCTGTAATAAGGGCATTCCCCTAAGACTGTTCTGTTTTATATTTGTAGCTGTTTATAGAGTCTTTCTGTTCAAGCATTTATCCCTCTATGATGTGCTTTAACAATGCACGTACATTTGCATTTGCTGACTCTCCCTTTTGAAAATGTATCGTATTAAATCATTCAGATAACCTTTGGGTTGCTACCAGATGTACATCTGCAATATACCACTCAAATCCATAATCAAACAGACTATCATAAGTAAAAAAAAGTTATTGAACACGTGGGGTTTTTTCCTCTTCTGTATTTGGAAGGGGGCATAGAAAAGCTCTCTGTACTTACCTAGCTATATCACTTTGCATAACTATTTGTTATTGGTTCTTCTGTGGTCCTGTTGTAAATGCAGCATTATTTTACTTGGTGAATGAAAGTTTAATACTCACAAATTGCGGTGAATTTTGTGTCCTCTGAACTGAAGCCACCTCAATATTCCTTAAAAAGTATTGGCCACTGAATGACAGTGGCAAGTTGGAGTACAGGTTAATGCCATTTCCTTATGCCAGTTGAACTGATTATTTTTAAATGCTTAATGAAGTTTTGTAACTGTATCCAGCGCTTAAATCAGAGGAATAAACCTTTTACACAAGTTGGTTTTTTCCATTTATCTTCTTAAACATTTTTAATGTTCATATTTATAAAAATGACTACTCTTCCATTTGGTGTATGACCTTTTAAAAAAGATACAAGAAACACTGTAAACAACTTCCTGATTTTTAGAAGCAGTTGCAGACCTTGGACCAGACTTTGATCTTGGTTATATCACTGTAAATACAATTAATTGAAGTGACTCTGGGTTTATACCAGGGTAACTCCTATCCAAGTCTGGCCTACTTTCTTAACTTTGCCTCTTTCGACAGCATCAAAACCAAGGTTTTGTACGTGGGAAGAAAATGTTCACTTACTATTTAGCACAATTTTTCAAGCCACCACCGCCCAGCAGTTCTGATTTGTAAATGTCAATATGACTGAGGTTTTTGGAGAGGGAGAAACTGACCACAATGATTTTGGCATGTATTTTACCTCACATTGGAGCAATCAAAGTTCTTTTGAGTTTTGATGTGGTTATGGGTGGATATTGGCTTGCAATTTTTTTCTTTTCTTTGCAGAGATAAATTGATCAAGAAAAAGGGAGAACAGCTCTTTAGGAATCGGGTAGGTCTACATGCTGCCTACCCTACTTAAAAAAAAAAAAAAAAAAAAAAAAAGCTTAAATATAGCATTTAAATGTAGAGAAGGAAGGACACTAATTGCTGCTAATATTGGCAGCTGACTGTCAAAACTGAGCATAGTTTGGAGATAAAATTACCGGTAAGGAATATTTTATCAGTTGTATTCAAAGGTGCAAGCTCCAGATGAAGAGCCACATGTTTGCCAGTAAAATAGTGCTGAATTTCAACTATTAACCATTGTTCTGAAAGGAATTCTCCCTGCCTGTCTGCTGTAAGCAGAGCCATGTTCATCTGTGGAATGTATGTTAAGATTGGGATGAGAGCCAGATGTAATCCTTTGGGTATTTAATTACTCAGTTCTTCCTACCAAGAAGTTTTATTATCTAAACTAGATTAATAATTCATCAAAACTGAGTGGTAGGGCCTGCAGTTGAAATATTTTACCCTGGTTATCTCTTGTGAAGCTTAATCCTGATTTATTAAAAGTACCCTTCCTCCTACTCTTCCCCTCTACATGAGAATTGTTTTTCTCTTTGCACTCTCATGTGCAAGCAACTAAAGAATCCCTGCTTCAATGAGCACTTCAGTCAGGACTCAAGCTAGCTGCCTACTTGAGACTTTAAACTAAAATTCAGCACTGATTGACTTATTCTGTTCAAAACAATTCTTTGGCTTTTGTTAAATTTGGCTTAAAGGAAAACAAGATCTTTACATGCCATTCATTATAGTGTGCTGTTTTGTATGCTTCATGTAGTAGTTGTATACACTTGAACTGCGGTGCCCATAAATCACATTTATCGTACACCTAAATCTGCCTTACCTACATTCTGACAACATAGCCATCTTTGCTGAAGCTACTAGTACATGCCAAACCACAGAGTATCTTAGGTATCATTTTAAGACTATTCTCTTAGTCTGTGCAAGAGGGGTGTTTTCAGTCAGTTTAAGGTGAGATCCCCTTATCCAGTAAAGCTACAAATCATTTCCCAACTGACCCATTAGCCTAGAATCCCCCTTTTTGGGGGGCAAGGGTAATAGGATAAGGCTTTTTTTTCTGCCTTAGTAGAATGTGAGATCAGATAAGTGCATACATTTTCTAACAATATGATACAGATCTTTTTTAGGTTTCTGAAATGTCTTAACTTTTCTGAGGCATGTACTGTTGAATCATAGTTAATTGAATCACCTATTTTTACAGTGGAAGGCTATGAAAAAGTATCAATGAAGTTTTATTTTAAAATACTGTAACCCCTCAATCATTTCTAAAAGAGAAGTACATCAATGGTGTCACACATGTAGAATCCTAAATAGGGTAATATGAAAGTCTGGGCTTGCTTGGGCAGACATGCATGACTCCCTTACTACTTCATTTGAGTAACGAGATTACCCCAGATTCATTCAATTTAAAATGTATATATCAAATATATTCTCTTTGTATCATACACATGCCTCGAGACTTTTGTGTTGGGTGAATTTTATAAGTCAAAATGTTTATTGTCAGAGGGGCTTGTTAAATGTAGTTGGCTCAAGGGTGGCCAATCCTTGTTCAGGTGAGGGATTTATTAATAACTTGCCAGTGGTTTGGGGCCACACCGAGTTTGTGGAGCAGATGGCTGTCTGCCTTCTCTTTGAATCCAAAATAGACAGTACATATCAGCACATGATTCACCGTGGCATTGATACTGCTTGCCTGAAGATGGAATGTTTCCTGTTGGTGCATGTAGTTTCTGCATGCCACAGATCCATTTGAAAGTTTTGGGGAGATGGGTGGTACCTTCTTACTTAACAGATTTGATCCTTTTATATGTTATCTATAGAATTTAGCAATACATGTATTTACTGCTCTTTACTCTGTGTTATTTGTAGTGCTAAGATTGGGTGGGATATTATTTGTTCTTCTTTTGAACACTAATTACAAAATTCCAGTCATCTATGCCACTGAGGGTATTGAACATATGTGGGTCTAAGTAAGGGCCTGTTCTGATCTGCAGGACTCTTTATTAGGGATAGAGTAGGAGAAGGAGAAGATCCAGATTGAGTCCGATTCCCAGATTGTTAGCTATGGAAATAGGTTACAAAACTACCTCTTGCAAACCATGCGGTTTGATGATGATATCTTTTAAAGAAACTAAGTGTGGAAGCCCACAGCACCATTTTTAGAGTCACTTCTTGGAACAAAAGAGCTCTTTAAGATGAGAGAAGCACCAGTGTTTGAGCTACACTTTGGACTAACAACTGCATCGTAGCTGCGTTGACAAAAGGAAATTTTAAGACACTTAAGGCCTTAAAAGGAAAAACGCTAAGCATCAGTTGGCTCTGTTGAAGTCAGCGTGCATGTGCTTGATACCTCTGGAAATCAGGCTCTTACTGTCCTCTTAAGATCATCTACAGCTCCCTTTTTAAAGTGATAACTTCAATTTTAGCAATGTGGGTTTACAGGTTAGGTAATGCCTACATATCAATTGCTATAAGGGATGCACATGTATATTAAAACTGCTGCACCAAAGTTTAATTGGAAAAAAAGTCAGAGCCTGTCCTGCAGTGCAAAAGTTGGATATATGCATGCAGCAATACTGCCATGTATGGAATCTAACTGAGCTTTACTTTGTTTTCAGTGATGATGGCCAAAGAGAAGCCACCAATAACCGTAGTTGGAGATGTTGGAGGAAGAATTGCCATCATTGTGGTATGAGATTGAAAGGGCAGTGGGGTGGGATCTTTTCTCTGTCTCATCTCTTTAAATATTTATGCCTCCATGGAACTGGGGATTTTTATATTGGAATTAAAAACTGGAGATCATTATAGTGTCAAAACATGAATGCTCTAATTCCATCCTCTTGTTACCACTCTTCAGGGCAGTTAATATCCAGCATTTGGCTCAGAACATAGGGAGATGGACTCTGAAATTTTCCTTCCCAGTTATACCAGAACTCAAAAATGAATACCTCAGAATAGGAATCGCTTGTTGCAGTCTCCATTCACCTGCTTTTGAGATGGGTGGCATAGGGTTTTTGTATCATTGGGAGAATGGATAGTCTGCTTTAGATACAAGACTAAAAATCAAGACCTATCTGAGCTCAGTTTCTCTTTCTGCCACAATCTTCCTGTGACTGCTTAATGCCTCGCGTTATCTTTTTATTAAAATGGAACTCCTTCTCTACCACGTGTGGGGGGCAGAGATTTAAATAATTTTGAGATGCACTTGGATACTGGTGTGGTGAACACTATAGAAATATTCCTGTTGGTATAGTCTGCCTTGGTGTGTCAAGGATCTTCAGTAGTAGGTAGACACTGTAACTTCCTCAAATATGTATGCAGTTTGCTGCTGTAGACTGATCTCTTCAGATCTGTCACCTTCTGTCATGTGGTAACTTTCTGGTTCTGATTGTGGGGTTCGTTTGTGTTTCTCTCAGGATGATATTATTGATGATGTGGAAAGCTTTGTTGCAGCCGCAGATATCCTAAAAGAGCGTGGTGCTTACAAGATTTTTGTGATGGCGACTCATGGGCTCTTATCTGCAGATGCACCCCGTCTAATTGAAGAATCAGCAGTCGATGAGGTGTGTTTACCGCAGTTTGTATTGTGGAGATTAGAAAAGGCTGGATAGTGGCTAGATGGATTAATGCTCTAGCTTTATACCTCTAGATAGTAAGAATCCAATCAGCTGTTTGTCACAATTGTAAAATGATTTTCGTCACAGACTTACAATTTCTAGTAGGTATCACAAAACCATCACAAAATTCAGCATGCAGATAACAGTACCTATTCTGAGTGGGACAAGGTTTGGGATGATTTTTCAAAACTTCATTTGGGTTAAGTTCTGTCTGCTTGCTCTGAATAGCTTTTAGCTGAGACTAATGTTCATTTTTCCATAAGTGAAACAATTCACCAGATTTACATACACTTATGAGAGGAAAATAATTCTGGTCATTGCTAGATGACAAGAAAGACCCATGAGTGAAAATAATGGGGACATTTAAATGAAACTTTAATTTAGTTATCAGAAATGGGTTGTTATCCATTTTTTTAGAAGATAACGGAAAATCTCCTTTAGTTCAGAGGCATATGGCCTCTTAAGAGTCTGTCCTCTGTGTAGATTTCCCATCTGCATACAAATTTATTAATACCTGCCTAGATGGAGGGGCTAAAGCACAGCCTCAATTGGAAATTATGCTGTGTTACCTTAGTAAAGGAGCTGTTGGTACTAGATACTCAGGGAGAGAAATTCTGTTTAGAGGACAGTCCCTCTCTGAATTTTATGGCAGTTGTTTTAATTGCCAGTAAAATAGGTGAAGTCTGCTGTTTGGAGAAGTGTAGCAAAGTGAGCTAGAATTATGTCTGTATTCTTTGATATCTTCTAGCAAAACCACTCACATGGGCACTTCTCTATCACATCCCATGTGCATGTGTTCCTGTAATACAGCCCTTCTTTAATGTATTTTTCTCTGCTGCTCCCATCTGACCACCATGACCTTTGTGGGGCATTATTGGATCAAGCCATTAAATATTTCACACTCAGTGGTCAAGAACCTATGCTGTAATTAGATTTTCTAGTCCATATGGAGAAGCATCATGCAGAGCATCATGGATGTTGACCTCTTCAGATGATCGACCTTTGCAGACCAGCCGTTTCATACCTACCCTGAATCCTTTAACTACTCAGAGAAACATCAGATACAAACAGCTTTCAGAGTTATTCTTATGTAGCTGTTCAATCTGAATTAATGTTCAGAGGCACTTTTAATGTTCTTTCCTTACTGTCTCACTGCAGGTGGTTGTGACCAATACAGTTCCTCATGAAGTTCAGAAGCTGCAGTGCCCCAAAATAAAGACAGTGGATATCAGTTTGATCCTTTCAGAAGCCATCCGACGAATCCACAATGGGGAGTCCATGGCTTATCTCTTCCGCAACATCACCGTGGATGACTAGATGGCAATATTGCCCTTGTCGGGGTTTTCTGAAGCAAAGGGAAAGGAAATGTGCATGAAAAAACAATGCCATAAATTATAGATGTAACACAATTGTTTCTTCTGCTAGGGAGAGGATTTAGGGTGTTTAAAGGCTGAAGCCACAAGATTAAATAGCAAAAGTAAAGTTGAACAGCCCTGCTACCTGCAGCCTCTTTTGTTCACCTCTTACAGGGAGGGTTACGTTTTAGTTATGATCAGGAAATGGAGAGGCTTTGAATTAAGTAAAGGTCAAATTGCCTGAAAGCTCTTTGAAAGATAGCCACTACTCTAAAACAGAGCTGTAGTCTCATGAGCGGGCAGTCTAAGTTGTTGCTGCACATGCACTGTTGGAGAAAAGATGTTGATGCTTCTTCTAATATATGAATTGACTACAGAATACAGAAGGGAACCCTTCATTTAAGCAACCTGGTCAAGTAGTGTGCTGCCTGTAGAATTGATGTGCAGAATACTCCCGTGCCAACTTTTGTAGCCTTTTCTAATTTCATTTGTTCAGCATTGATTTATTTTTATGAAATTATTGCCTATAAGTACACTCAACAGTGGCAGCCTAGAATGACCCAATGGCAGTGAAATCCTTACATAAATTAGACATGTAGGTGGTGTTGGTAACAAGTGAAAATATATTTCTCTCACTTGCAGGAGTGGGACTGTAGTATTAGAACATGTCAACTTTATCTCTAGAGCCTTGGATTCTTGTCATAACTCAGTGGCTCATGACAATAATTTGATCCCTGCTGGAACACTTGTCTACATTGGAAAGTTAAGCACAATTTGTGGTGGTTGTTGTTGTTGTTTGATTGTTGGCTCAGAAGTTGCCTGGAATTAATATAAACTGGCACAATTGTATGGGGCAAATTTTACATGCCTGCCTCGAATATGACTGTACTTTTTGAAACTAATGTTCAAGGAACTAAAAGGTCTAGGATTTTATTTTGGATCTTTTGCCTGTGGACAGCTTCCATTCTGGCCTGTTACTGTAAATATGTTAAATACATTTACGGGGCAGCCTTGTAAAGTAAAAGAAAATGTAGATGCTGTCAACATGTTTTCTGAAACACCCATTGAACTCTTGCCTTTAGAGAGAGGGGTCTTGTTGCTTGCTTCTTTCCCTGGTTACAAAAAATCCTTGACTGTGGCAAAAAGTATCTGACCGGACAAGCAATCCTAGTGAATTTTGACGACTTTTGCTGGGCTGTAATAAGACCCAAGGGCATATTCAAAAAACATCAGCTATTTAGGGGGACAGTTTAATATGCATACCACTAAAACCTAGAATATTTTCCACTTGGTTCTGTGATAAGTAGTTTGAGGCTATTGGTTGGAAGAAGACCATGCAGATTGATTACTTTGTCCAGCAGGGGTTAGTTTATAGTATTGTTTGCCCTTCAACTTCTACCTACATATTTCACTTCCACTCCAATGTACAAAAAATTTTAATGGTGTCAAAGAGCATATGTTTATTCTGGGAGTCCAGGAAGAGCCTTGAATGTTCAGCAAACAAAATGTCCTCAGTAGAGTGAAATGCATGTTACAGAACTACCGTAGTTTCCTATCTCATAGCTACTGAGCATGTGTTGAACTATAGATATGAGCATGTTGCCTTCTCACTGGAATCAAGCTGCTGATTTGTACCTCCAGACTGAATAGCCTTGTAAGCAATATACAGGACTGTTCTTAATTTCATGACTGTGTTCACAAAGTATTAGAAAAAGTGACAACTAATACTCCATTACTGTAACTCTGTGTATGTAGCTCATCAGGGCTGCTGACAGTTATATCTTAACATGGTACTATACTTTTAAGTATTACTGAAGGGATTGACTGAAGCATGTATGTGGGGGAAAAAAATCACACACATATATGTCCCCTTGTTCTTAATTAGTACGAGGCTGTCACGGTTCATAGTGATATCCAGTTTTACAAACATGAAAACATTCTGTCCTCATATCCCCTTTTAACTACTTTAAGGCACCTGGGTAAAATGGCCAAGATAGTTAGTCAGCTATCCTTTCACCTCAGATTAGCCTCTGTTCAGATCTTGGGCTGGGACACAAGTCAGAATGAATCTGGTTGGGCCATTGTCATAAATCATTCATACCACAAAATCCCCGACCAGTTTAGTCCAAATTGTAGCCTGTGCTCTCAAGACCCAAAATTGCAACGACAGATTGCAAATTGAGATTAAAATGCATCAGAAGAGCAATGTGGAAATTTGTATAGCTTCTGCTTGAACTACATTTGTCTTGGCATTGAGCTTTACTTAGTCTTTTTTTTTTTCTTTCGTGGAATCCAGCCCTTGTGGCTGCCATCATTACAATGTGTGCTGTCAATTTTTTTTTTAACATTGCCTTTTGGAAAACTTGAATATCTTTATAGCTTTTCCAGTTATTAAAGGTGGGTCTTAAGTGGTCTTGAACAATTTAGTTTCTTATTTAGCAGGCCAAGACTTTCTGAATAGCACCACAATCTGCCTATGTCATCTTTATTTCCATCCCATTTCCTGTGTTCTCTCTGTAACTCAATCCTGACACTTAAAACCAAAACAGGGGATCTAAATTTATTGCTTTTAATTCCTGAAAATGTAACTGTTCTGTTCTGGTAAAATGGCAAATCGGCCAATTCCTTTCTCAACCACCATCTGCCTACTTTCTCGGAAATTGCCTTGGTTGAGAGTGCCTGGATGGAAAGAGAGGTTAATGATCTAAAAAGCTATACAATGGCATTACATTGAGAATTGATTTTAAAGAAGGGAAAAAAGTTCTCATTTATTTTTGTTTGCTGATAAGTCACTCGGGTTCTAATGTAAACAGTCTTCCCAAGATTCTCTAAGTATTTTACTTTCAAGAAATATATAGCAGTATGTGTAAAATTTCTGCATTTATGTTCCCTTCTTACATTTTGCCACGTTGACATGGCTTTTCACTTCAAGATGTGATGATTTCATAAAAGTCCATGTAGTAATGTGTTTAATCCCCTTTTGGAAACCATCCTCAAGTGAGGCCATAGGAAGAGTGAAGACCCATGCTCTTATTTGATGTCTCAAAAAAGGGAGAAAGCGCAATTTAAATCGCACAGTACTGGATAGAAAGCAATATAAACTGAGCTTCCATTATCTCCCAAATTCAAAACTTTCAAAATGGTCTAGGTGAACATAAATATCTGCTTTCTGCATATAACTAACATTTTTGTTACAGTTGTAGTTTGATCATCTCTGAGGAAGAAGACTTTTCACATTGAAATTGCTCTATGTGCAAGCTGCTGTAAAACTAGTTATCTCTTTGCAGTCTGCACTGAAGTGAGAAAAGGACAGAGGAGAAGATAATGAAAGCCTTGGGGCACCTCTTTCTTGCAGATATATTTTAAGTTCATTCATATTTCCTGCCCAGGGCAGAGTGAAGACAAGCTGTATAGTTGGCATATATCTGTCTGATCTAGAGTATGCTATTAGCTATTTTCTTTGGGGGGAAAAATGCCCTCTTGGCTGTGTCTGTTAGAAAGCCATAGAGAAACTCCCAGTGTTGATGCTAATAAACTCTACATTCTCAGTTGAGCTTTTCTCTGCAATTTATTGCAAAAAGTACTCCAATGGCCCAGACACAAGCCTGCTGAGTAGAGTATTAAAAAGCAGGTTTTTTTCCCTAAATGTGTAACCGCTGAAATTTCGACTGGGGATGGGAGAGGTGGCTCCACAGGAGCTGTCTTAAAAGCTGGATCCCTGAGAACACTGGCTCCTGCCTCTCCTCCTGCACTGCTGCTTCTGTATCAGAGGCAGCAGTGCAGGAGGGGAGTAGGCAGCTCCCTGGGAGCTAGTGCTCACATGCTTCCCCCCCCACCCTCTGCTGCCCCTGATACAAAGTCAGCAGGAGGGTGAGCCTTGTGTGTAACCGTGAAAGATAACCTACAAGCCCAAGCTCATCGGTTATTAATTTAAACTTATGCACTGTCACATACTGCTGTGACACTGTCACACATCGTATCCCTGTTTGCATTGGTTCCAATGCGTGTTTCTTGATCCTTTGGCTCTGTGGTGCATCAAGCTTATGATCATAAGATTTGGATGCCTATGGTATTCTAATGCCATTAGAGCTCCTTTGAGTTGCTGTTCCTATTAAAAGAACATCATAGTGCAGAGCAAAAAGGGATGACTCTTACAAAGTGAAACAGATCAGGGAAGACCATAGCATATATAATAAATGTCATGGTCACAGATGTCTAAATCCAGCTAACTTTTTTTTAAGCCTGTATGGTGGAAAGTATTTTTTACGTGTGCTTTTGCGAAGGATTATACTCTCTTCCTTGCAGATGGTGTCTGTATTAAATCATTGTGCAACAGGTGTAATGCCTGTCAAGATGTCAGATGAAAATGTATTTTGGTCATGGTTTTTCTTTTTGATGTAGAGAAAGGAATCCTGCCTGAGGTTTGAGTCTCAAACCAAAGTTGTTCATGCTCGATGAGCTGTTGTGTTTTGCAATCAGTGGTATGAGTGCCCTTAGGGGTACTCGAGAGAAGTCTGGGGTACATCAACACAATTGAAATTTGGAGAAAACTGAATTTTTGTTTTAAGTTTTACAGCGTTTTATTATTTTTGTACTTTTTACACACACAAACTTCCTTGCCTGCCTGGCTATGATTAAGTTGTTTACATAAATGTGTTGCAATGGCGGGGGAAAAAAATGTCTCTCTGAAAACTAGGTACTGGGGGTACTTATAATTTTTTTTTAAAAAAAGGGGTACTTTATTAAAAAAAAAGGTTGAGAAACTGATCTATTGTATACAACCACGCCCTAATATACAACCGGATTTGCTCCAGTCCCACAGATAGAGACAAACACCTACAGGATCTATATAGAGCATTCTTAAAACTGAAATACCCACCTGGAAAAGTGAAAAAACAGATTGACAGAGCCAAAAAAGTACCCAGACAAGAACTCCTTCAAGACAGGCCCAAAAGAGAACATAACAGAATTCCACTTGTCATCACCTACAGTCTACAATTTAAACCCCTCCAACACATTATCAAAAATCTACAACCTATCCTGGAAAATGACCCCTCACTCTCAGAGGCCTTAGGGGAAAGGTCAATTCTTGCTTACAGATAACCCCCTAACCTGAGACAAATTATTTCCGGT